TCAACCACTGAGCCACACTGGCCGGGCTAAGCTTTCAACTAATTTTTGTTGAAATTTTAGATATTTGATAAATAGTAGGGGAAATATTTCTTTTAGGAGGAAGAAGACACTGTCTCTTTAGTTTTGAAACCATAGAGATGATGCTAAGAGTAGTCCTGAAAATATACTTGCCTTGACTACAAAGCTTTAGAAACATTGGGGCAAAAGAGTAGTCATTTCTCCCTCATCCTTATTTCCCTCCTCTGCATGCCCCTAACATAGACCTTTTGTTTGGTTCTCAGAACTCCCTCACTGCCGAGATCCCGAACTTGTCTTCGTTAGTGTCCTAATACTGTTACCTGTGCTCTTATTCTCCCAGCTCTGTCATGTGATGGCGGTTCAGCTTTCCAAAGTCTTAATAACAGTTTCTATTGCCTTACGTTGTCTAACACCTGACAAGGAGAAAGTGAGTGAACCCTATTCATTGAAGCCTTGGAGGTAAATCGAAGAGAAGATAAAGGAGAAGACTGGTAGGCTAGAGGAACACAGGGCATAAAGGAGAGAATGGTTACCATCCAAAGGAACCCAAGTTTAGTTTCACTGTATCCAGAAATTTTGTCTTTGCAGTACAACGTATAGCTGTATAGTCATGGTAATTATGAAAGACTGGGAACACTGTTAATGCTAATGTTGCTGATACATATTAGATGAGCAAAGGGAAGAATTGAATTGAAAGCTATAACCTTTGTCAGAAAGTCTTCATTTACACTAGACTAATCTACATCATATATTCATAATTAGATACCTGATTTAGTTTATTGCAGTAAACTCTCTGCTTGTATGTTCAGTTTTATAGATACACATTAAGTATTTCATCTACCTACAATTTTCATCAGGATAAAAAGCATATTCTAACATTGTTCCTAGAGAAATCTTGGTATCCATATTATTGATTGGCTATTATAATTATAGCCTATTTTCTGCTACTCGTTCTGTGTATGCTGTGTTTTGGTCTAGCCTGACACCAGATTAGATGTCTGACTTTAGAATTACTTGTAGAGCACCAGTCTGAACACAGTACAGTAGTATGCCTTCATTGTGGTAAGACCTCAGTATTGTGAGGTTGAGCTTGATGCTTGGAAATCTTGTATATGAGTACCATTAATTTCATATTAGAAACAGTTAAACCATCCTTTTTGTCACTACTGATGGCTTTCAGTTTAGATTTTAGTAGTTTTATGATAGTACATTCTGTACCCAAAAGTTACCCAGAGGTTGGCTTGCTTAAAATTTCAGGTTGTATGTGGAATCTGCATACTTAAAAAATTATACGGATCCTGAGCATAGTTCTTTTAGATCTCACCTGCTCTTGAAAATGAGCCACACGGATAGGGTGATGGTTGGAAATTTAGACCGTGAGGACTGCTTCTAATGCAGACTGAGAACTTCAGTGGTGGTTCACATGCATTAGATCTAAGATTCTTTTCTAAAATTGTGACCATTTTTTATTTGTTTTGTTAATCCTCATCTGAGGGTATTTTTTCCACTGATTTTTAGTTGGGGTGGGGAGAGAAAGAGAAAGAAACATTGGTGAGAGAGACACATTGATTGGTTGCCTCCCGCACGACCCTGACCAGGCCCAGGAATTTAACCTGCAACCCAGGTACGTGCCCTCGACCAGGAATCGAACACATGACCCTTTGATCCAAGGTCCGATGCCCTAACCACTGAGTCAAACCAGCCAGGGCTAAAATCGTGACTTTTATTTCCATCAAATAGCTTTTTCTTAAACTTCTGTGATTTCATTTTCATCAGTTTGGTTTATGCTGTGGGGAATGTGTGCAGCCTCCTGTGGCTAACTTTAATCTGCATGACTAGTCTGTATCTGAATAAATTATTTTTAAAATAAATTAGCAACATTCTTATTTATTTCTTTTGGTTTCAAGTTTATTGTATTCAGTTGTTGTCTTGTCAGATTTGTTTTAGATAGTTTTATCAGCTACTTGGGACTCCAAATAAAAAGTTTTGAACTCTGAAAATAGCTTAATCGTCTTTTAAGTTTTCAGAACCTACTTGGCTGCATTCAAATAATTGAAATGTGCATTTCCTCTTTTGGCCTCTATTGCATATTAAGTGAATGATGATTAAGAGAGTGATCTTGAAGAAATTTCTTTTCCCACCACATGCAGAGAACCAGAATAGCAAAGATTACATTAAAATGGCCTGTGGAAACAACTTACCAGCCTTTTACATGAACAAACTGTTGAAAAGTTTTTTCTTTTATTTCAGGAATGCATCTCTGTTCTGTAAACTTAGCCTTTCCATGTTTATACAAAGTTCTAAAATTCCATATCTGACAGGTTAGGCCTTAGGGGTTACCTATACTATGTACAACTAATTCATTCCCCTGTATTTTTGCTTGCTAAAAGTTTCAGACTGGCTGCATTTGCCTGTATGTAGCATGTTAAAAAGCCCCCTGCTTTTTATTTTTTAATTTTAGGGTTACTGAGATCAGATTTTTTATTTCAGTCCCCTCATACTTCAGAGCTGCTCTGTTGATTTCTGGCTCTTCTCTGCTTACAGACTGTGCTGCTTCTGCTGCAGGTGTCTGCTCCTATTCACCCCTTTCCATTCTCCTCGTTTCCTTTTGGTCCACGTTTACTTCTTGGCTCCCAAGCCAAGTGATTTAATTTACCATCATTTCTGTCCAAGAATACTGCTTTCCTTCTGCTCTGTGAATTGGCTAGTCAGAGCATGCTGTGGTGACCTTTGTATTTGGCCTGTATTTCCCTTATTGTTTACTGATACATTGATTCTTTTTTGCCAAAAAAGATGACTTGATGGTTCTTCATTTTTTGGCACTTTGAAAGCACTATTGTATTTGACTTCCTAAAAATAGATGTTACTGGAAAAGAAATAGCCTTTAAAAAATCATTGGGGTCAGGGAATAAGCTCTTAGGCATTGCTTGCATTCTTAATAAATATGTCCTACTGGTCAAATGGCATTTTCTAGCAAAGTGAATAACCTGAAGCAGTTGCATATTCTGTGAGATTAACGCCCACTGTAGACAATCTACAATGTCAGATGAATGTGATAATAAGCTATAGTTCATATTGATAAAAAATAAAATTTAATTTAAAAAATAATTGTGGATAAACTCAAAGTGTGGAATTGCAAGACCATGTAAGCAGTCATTTCTTTTTTGCAGAGCAGTACTTTTTTTAGCAAAAAGTGATGAAAGGGGCATTAGCACTGGTAGATATAATTGAGATACATGATATACTTATAACACAGCTGTGCCAGTCTTTCAGGGAGTTTTCTACAATTGGGCAGGGAAAATAACTTGATGTCTCTATTTTGAGACTTTGCTTTTATTTTAGCTCTCTTTGGTGTTGATGGAGGGTGGATAGCCAGAATTTAAAGGGAAAAAATAATGTTGTAAAGTCATTACCTTGAGAAAAGAATCCTTTTGCTGTCTTATATTAGCTTCAGCCAAGGAAATGAATTCCAGATGTTAGTGTGTATGAAGTAGTAGAGGATTCCTACTTGTATGAAAGAGTGCTTTGTTAAAATGTAAATATTTGTAAGATTGTAATAAAGTTAGATTTGTAGCTAGCTGTTTAAAAATAAAAGCAAAAGTCTAGCTTAAAATAATTTCCCATAACGTGTCCCATATTAAACTATGGCATACCTTACTCTGGCCACAGTTACTTCACTGGCTCTCTTCTCTATAAGTAGGCGAGTATGCCTAGAGCATCTGTTTCGTTAATTTCTGTCAGAACTTAAGGTAAAGTTTCTCCGTACTAAGATTCTGCTATTTTCAAATGTGAGGCAGTTTGCAGGACTGAGAAAAATACTCTTAAGTCTTGTTTGGGAACTAGGGTTTATATTTCAAAAGCTTTACAAAAATTCCACTATACATGTTGATTCAGAATCTGTGTAAGTGGGATCCAGACTTTCAGGTGATTTCTTTTAAAGGCCAGGTCAGGGGTTAGGAATTAATATTAAACAGAATAAAAATGGTACATCTTATTGCACTATAAAATTCTGTTAAAGAATGGTGAATTGATTTTTATATCAAAAATAATTTATTATGAAGTAACATACATAAACATTCTTAAATAGTAAGACTTCTACTTTCTTTGACATACTTTGGGCTTTCTTTGACATATTTTGGGCTATGCTTAAGATTCCTCAGGATACATGAATTTATTCTCCTGCCTGTTTAGATGCTTAGGTAGATACATATAAAAACACTACCTATCAAGATATTCGTTGGATTGTTAGGGCAAAGGAAGGAAATAATAGATTTATTACCTTTCAAAATAGCTGAAGCAAGATTGAGAAAGGAAAAACTGTTAGAAGAATTGTGTAAAAGAAAAGGCAGAACAAAAACAAGAATTGGGAGGCTCATTCAACACCCCTCACACACACTTTTTTGGTGTAAGTACATAGTTATTTGTTGATCAGTAAGTAGTCATTTGTGCCCATCACAATGGATGTGTGAGGAGGTGGAATATGTAGCAGTCATTTCCTTTTGCATGTACACCTGAGGTTATAGATAGCATTGTTACAGGTGGGAGGAGTGTTCTTCTCAGCTATAACTCATATTGTCTCAAAATGGAATACTTTCTGTTTGGAATTTTATTGTATTTGATTTCTGTATGCAGAGAGCAATGAATAAAGTATGAAAAATCAGTCTTATAAATGGAGAATTGTCTTTCACTAGTCTAAAAATACATGTTAATTTGGACATTTTTATAGGGGGTTTATGAAAAAGAGCCAAAATATAAAATAGGTGATTTGGGTTTTTTCCGTTATGACAAGGGCATTCATACATTGAAACCAGTACTTACTGAATTGATGAGAATAAACAAGCAGTTGTTTATCTTATTTCTGGCACTGATTTTACTTGTTTTGTTTTTAAAATTTGGCTTTTAAAATGTTATATGGAGAGTATTTTTTTTTTTTTTTATAATACAGGATATTTGAGTGTTAATGGAATTTTATTCTTTCTTAGGTCATGTTTACTGGTGAAAATATTCCCGTTCATCCTCATGTTTATAGCAATGGTCATATCTGTTTATCCATTCTAACAGAAGACTGGTCCCCAGCGCTCTCAGTCCAATCAGTTTGTCTTAGCATTATTAGCATGCTTTCCAGCTGCAAAGAAAAGGTAGGACTTTTCAGAATTATTCCAGGTCATATCTCTTCTGTCAGTTTAGGTAGAGAAACTATTTTAATGTGCATTTTATTGGAAGGAAAGAGTTAATGCTTTTTATTATAAAGTTATAGGGAATGTTATGTTTAATAATAGATTGGAATGAAAGATTATCAACATAGTTTCCCAACTAGAAGTTAGACATTGTTTTATGTTTCCTAAATAGGAAATACCTGCAGATGTTCTAAACAATCTGAATTTTATTTCTGTAAACATGCACAGGGCAAAAGTGTACAAGAAATTATTATTTCAAGATTTCACAGTGGCAAAGCCCAGGAATAAGCATAGGGAGCTGCTTCCCCCTCTGCTGGCTCTCACCCTGTCAGCCTCTTTTAGAACATTTTCCAGAACCAGAGCTTTGCTATCATAATGATTAGGTTGAAGAAGGAGGACTAGATTACCAGTGGAATTTTTAGGACTTTTCCTCTTACTCTCCTTTACAGATCCACAGATTCTTTGTCTGATGGAGAAGAGAAAAAGACCAAAAAGTCACATGAGTTAAATTTAGGATATCCTTTTAAAGTCCCCAAATTCTCTGCACTCTGGTCCTCTTGTCACTCCTACTTGAGGGTTAGTGCAGCACAATGTTCATGGAGTTCTAGTTTTTAAAGCCTTACTTTCCCATGGGGGTTTCCTTTGTGTTCTGTTTACAGAAGAAACAAACTTACCTTCGAGATTAGAGAGCTGAGAGGTTGTTTTTCTGTGTTTTCCAAATTGAACTGTCATTTTTATTAAATCAATATTTAGAAAACTTTCAAGATAGTACTTTATTTTTAAACAGTATGTTACCTAGATTCAAACACTTTAAGCCACTGTTTGCAAAGTTAAGTTTCTTGGGATGTTAGTTCCATAACAAGTTTCTTTCTTTTTTTTTTTTTTTTATCCTCATCCGAGGACATTTTTCCATTTTTTGTACAGACAGAGTGGGAGGGAGAGATAGGTAGAGAGAGGGAGAGAGGGAAACATCGACGTGAAAGGGACACATCGAGTGACTGCCACCCACACGACCGACCAGGGCCGGGGACAAACTGCAACCGAGGTACGTGCCCTTAGCGGGAACCGAACCCGGGTCTCTCAGGACCGCAGGCGGACGCTCTAACCACTGAGCCAAACTGGCCAGGGCCATAACAAGTTTCTTGGTGTTAGATTTAAAAGGGGAGCAGGGGGAGGTTTTGTGCAACTAGGCATGGGAAATAATGGGTTAATTTGTATTTTTTAAATTATAGCTTTAAGAGCCTTTACTATGAAATTTTATATACCATCTGAGAAAGGAAATTAATTTGGGCACTTAAACTTTTTATTTTATTTTATTTTTTAAATATGTTTTCATTGATTATTTTTTTTCAGAGAGAGGAAGTGGGGAGGGAGAGAAACATCTGTGTGTGAGAGATACATCGATTGATTCATTGCTTCCTACATGCACCCCAACCAGGGATCGAACCCACAACCTGGATATGTGCCCTGACTGGGAATTGAACTGGTAACCTTTTGGTGCACTGGACGATGCTCAACCAACTCAGCCTCTCTGGCCAGGGCAGGAAGTTGAACTTGTGACACACCATTAGTTAAAACATGTATCTCCATTCAGAAATATTAAAATGTGCAGGAAAAACGTACATCTCAGAAGAGATGAAATAGGGTACTTATTCTTTAATGTTAGTATTACTTTTTGACATTAGTTTCCTCTTTGCTGTTGGCTTTTCTAAGAGGCATTTTAAGGCTACACTTGAGCTTTTGTTAACTTCATTGTCTTTGGAAACAAATCTTACTCATTTACTACTTTCATATTTTCTCTTCCCCCAACTCCACGTCCAGCACACATACCAATTTGAAGCTTTTTTCCCCCCCTTTATTGATTTGAGAGAGAGGAAGTGAGAGGGAGAGAGAGATAGAAACATCAATGAGAGAGAACATCAATTAGCTGCCTCCTGCATGCCCCACAACCTGGGCATGTGTCCTGACCGGGAATCGAACCAGCAACCTCTTGGTGCACAGGTTGACGCTCAATCACTGAGCACACCGGCTGGACCAGTTTTAAGCTTTTAAGAGTAGAGCGGAGCAGTTTGCAATGACAAGGACTTCTATGTACCTGCTAATGTTTAGTGTCTATAGAAAGGTGAGGCAATAACATAGGATTGAATAAGAAAAGTTAAGAGATAAATAGTGATATCTGCATATAGCTTTTACATACGCCTCATATTAACTTTTGTTTACATTTAAATGTAATAATTTACTATTAAAAACTAGAAAAGCATTATTCTCTGCTGCCTCCATCTTTTTCTGAGCCTTACCATCCCTCACACTCTAGTTGTTTGCTACTGTTTCTTGCACACTTAGTATATAAGACTAATCATTCCATCTAAATTATTGATAAACTGTACTATGTAATATATTCAACCAAGATGATACTCTGGAAATCAGAATTCAGGCAGCATTAGTTCCGTGAAATATGATGAAATTCAGCAGAAATTTATTAGGTACCTACTATATGTTACTTTTACTGTGCTGAGTAGTAGGTTACAAAGACAAAGAGGAAACTTACTTTTCATTACAGGGATCTAGCCTTAAATAAGCTTTAAAAAGTCTTTTAAATATTCAACCAAAAACTCTTCTAGTAAAACAGGTAAATTCTATTCTGTGGTAGACATGTTTGTATGAGTTTCACTTTACTACTCTACTCTTTTAGTACAAATTTTAATTTTTACTATAGGCATTTGAGAACTTTGATTTAGTCATAATTCTTTCATTCCAGTTTCCCTTTTCATAGTTAAGAACGGTTTCCTAAACTGAAGGCATTTAAATCTGTTATGTCAGTAGGTTTTAGTAAAGATAGTTTCTGACATTGAGGCTAGGAGTTTTTCAGTAATCTACCCTTTATTCTCAGTGCTCTTATAATATAGATAGACCAAACTTCCCAGCATATATTCCATTTCTAAAACAACTTTGGTAATCATCTTTTTATATAGTTTATTTTTTTCTAAGAACCCAGTCTCCCTGATCACTCACCAGTTTGGTTGTATTCTTGACTTAAGCAAATAAAATGAGTTGTTTTTTTCCTTCTTAAATATTTTTTTAATTGGGTTCTAATAAATATACACATAGAAGTAGTTTATGAATTATTTGCCACAGTAGTAACAATTCATTCCACATGAATACTGGTTATGACTTTGCAGAACAAACAACTGCAGATCATCTATTCTTTGAAGTAGTCAGGCATCTAATTTCATAATACAGTCGTCCCTCACCACTTCGCGCTTCGACTTGCACAGCTTCACTCTGTCTTGGTTTTATACTATATTTGAAAAACCACAAGAGTGAAGCTGCGAAAGTCGAAGCTCAAAGTGGCGAGGGCCGACTATATAAAGAACCCTACTTCGTGGAAATTAATTTATCGTGGTAGAATCTGGAACTGATTAACTGCGATAAAGAGGGCCGACTGTATTAATTTTTCAGGAATTTCCTCAAATTGTTTTAACAGGGTAATCTTAGGATAGTTGTTAGATGTCTTATGCTCTACTGTTCCCTTTTGTTAAGTTAATATTAACTCATAGGGGCATTATAAGGCTCAGCTAAGATCAGAGTCATGTATGTGAGTTTTAGAGGTGCCAACCGCCTGTTTTCCTTCCTGCTATCTAGGTAATCCTGCTCTTTGTTGCCTTTTGTTGAACCTATCCTATTATCTACACACCTGCCCTCAGTGACTTTAGTAGAGATTTGACATGTTTCCAAATCTTTAGTGTCACGTATTTCTTGTGTCTGATTAATACACAATAGTTTCCAGGACAATTCTCTTCTATAATCTATCTTCGGTGTTGGCATCACTGTTTCTAATCCCTTGTAGAGCTACCATATGTCTGTAATGTAATAGTCAGGGCACATGTACAGCAGAAATGCCAATATGTCTTTTCCCCTTTTTTCCTGTTATATTATCTGGAAACTGAATCATTTGATCTGTCCTTAGTGATCTTATAGAAAAGCAGTAATCCTTTGTGGAGGTATATAAATTGCATTAGTTTCTCAGACAAATCTAATTAGGTAGACTTTTTTGGTTTTAATGAGCTCACAAAAGTAATTAATTAAATTATTTCTAGGAAGATAAGAGAAATGAAATCAAACTTTTTTACAACCTAATGCTCCCACTTTTGGTTGATAGTCATCTTTAGTAATCCCACTGGAACCTAACCCAAACCACACTGCACACCCCTAGTTTTTAAAAAGCAATTTCTGTGTCAAAGAGTCTATATTCCCTAGGATTTTTTTCAGTTATGCCATCATAAGTTATATTTCTTTATGCATTTTATAATAATTTTGCTAAAGCTTTTATTAAAACTATCTCTCCCTTATGTATTCCTGTTTTACAACTTCTTACCTATTTAAACTCTTTTCGGTTTCAGAGACGACCACCAGATAATTCTTTTTATGTTCGAACATGTAACAAGAATCCAAAGAAAACAAAATGGTGGTATCATGGTAAGCAGTTTTATTTTAGAATAACTTTTTAGCATTTTGGTTTGAAAGATTATATATCTATTTGCTTGAAAAAAAGAAGGGAACATAATTGTTGAATTTTTGTAATATGGAGAAAATTCTTTAAAATACTTTAAGATCTTTTATGAGTAAGTTAGACTAGCTTCTTAATGGGGCATCATACAAGTAAAATCTGAAATGGCTTTAACATCTTGAAACTACCATTTTATTACAAAAAAAGTCCTTAATCATCTTTAGACCAAATTAGAGCTAGTTATTGGGAAATCTGCTGTTTGAAATAGAAGTTTTGATGCCTGTGTACTCCTTTAGTTCTGATACTGTTCTTGGGGAGGGGGAACCACATTGTTAGAGCTGACCCATTAAATTAAAGAAAGTACTTCTATTCTAATAGTTATTCCTCAAAAAATTTGAGGTTCTGCTAATTGTACCTTTATGTATGTAATACTCTCAATAATTTTAAATTTCTGTTCTTTGTGGGGAGGGTGACAGTAGCTTTTATAATTGAAAGCCGCTAGCATCTTTTCTAAACTGACCTTACTGCTTCACCAAAGAGATATTTAAAATTTTTTAAAGTTTATATTTTCAATGTACTTTTTGAAGCAAGTGAGCAAAACCCACCTCCTGTGACTTTATATACATAAGAATGTTTCCTTTGTTTTTAGTGTTACCTAATAGAACTGATAAAACTAATGAGTAGGAATGGAGCCATTCCTCCTTTCCTTTCTATCCATTATGAAACCTGCTACCTCAGTTAATTTGAGTCACTTAAAAACTTTTTTAAATTATAGGAATTCTTTAGGTGTTGAAATAAAAGATGACTGGAGTTAATACACTATTCCAGCAGTTACAGGTTTAAGTACAGTGAAAGAAGAGCCACAAAATTGGAATATTTGGGATAATGTTAATGAGAAATACAGATGACCTAGAAGAAGAAATACCAGCACTTTTAAGAGCTGTGAAAAAAATACTTTGATGAGAAACCAGTATTATTTTTTAAAATGTGTATTCTTGACAAATTATAGGTTTAATGTAAGTCAGTAAAAATCCAATGGAATGATGGAGTGGGTGTTTTAAAAGTTTGGGGGAAAATGACTGGTAAAAAGAAATCATTTTGAATTTTGAACTAAAAAGTAAAGAAGGAAAATTAATCCACCAGACATCAAAACATATTGCTGCAAGAATAGACACTGAAATACAATTACTCTCTTCTAGGTCTTTTTGTATATAAAATTTGTCACAAATCAGTGAGAAGGGAAAAAGTTACTTAGTAAATAATTTTGTTAGAAAATTGGTAATCATTTTGGGAAAGAAGAGTTTACATTTTTAATTTATATATAAAATATTTCCTGTGGGTTGAATTAAGTAATTTTTTAAATGCAACAGTAGAAAAGTTGTTTTGTTTTTTTAAGTTGGGTATCATCTCTGGAGGAAGGAAGCATTTCTGAAATTAAAGGGAATCACAGAGTGGAAGGGAGGGAGAGAAAGAGAGAAACATGGATGTGAGAGAGACACATTGATCGGTTGCCCCCCACATGACCCTTACTGGGGATGGGAATTGAACTGCAACCCAGGTAACATGCCCTTGGCTAGAAATCAAACCCGTGACTCTTCACTCCACAGACCAACACTTTAATCACTGAGCCATACCGGCCAGGGCAAGAAATTAAACATTTTAGTTTTATGAAAATGTAAACCCTTTATAAAAGTACCAAAAACCTTCAAATCACTGTCACTATAAAGTTAAAAAAAATTGTAAACATGGTTTTAAAAAAGTTAAACTTTTTTTTTTTTTTTTTATCCTCATTCGAGGACATTTTTCCATTTTTTGTACAGACAGAGTGGGAGGGAGAGAGAGGAAGAGAGAGAGAGGGAAACATCGATGTGAAAGGGACACATCGAGTGGCTGCCACCCGCACGACCAACCAGGGCCGGGGACACACTGCAACCGAGGTACATGCCCTTAGCGGGAACCGAACCCGGGTCTCTCCGGACTGCAGGCGGACGCTCTAACCGCTGAGCCAAACCGGCCAGGGCAAAAGTTAAACTTTTTTAAAGTAACTTATTAAAAATAAAGACCATTTATGAAAGTTTCTTAAACATAAATACAATTAATTAAAAGTATAGGCAAAAAAACTTAACACACAAAATAATTACAAATTTTGCCCTGGCCTGTTTGGCTCAGCGGTTAGAGCGTTGGCCAGCGGTCCAGAGAGACCCGGGTTTGGTTCCCGCTAAGGGCACGTACCTCAGTTGCAGCAGTTTGTCTCTGGCCCTGGTTGGGTTGTGTGGGTGGCAGCCACTCGATGTGTCCCTTTCATGTCAGTGTTTCTCTCTCTCTCTTCCTGTGTCTCCCTCCCACTCTATCTGAACAAAAAATGAAAAAATGCCCTCGGGTGAGGATAAAAAAAAAATAATAATAATTACAAATTTAATATTTTAAAATTTATTGAATTAGCAGAATTTTATAAATGAGTGCAGTGCTGGAATAAAGTAATAGGTAGAATAAAATAGTGTTTCTTGCTGATTGGATAGCAACTTAATGTAGTCCTTTAAGAAAGCAGTTCAGCAATATTTAATAAGCTTGAAGTTGAAGATCAACATTTTTGTCTTAGTTACTAAACTTCTGAGAATTCGTCCTAAGAAAATCGTCTTTAACACAAGAAACATTTTATGCATGAAATGGTCAGTGGAACATTGTTTATAATATACACTCAATTCCTTATTCTCCATGTTGTTGCCTCTCCATATGCTATTTGCCTGGAATGACTCCTTCCACACACACCCTCTCTCCTTGGGAATTCCTTTACCAAAGCCTTGTTGGTTACTCCCTCTTTTAAGGAATCTAATAAACTTTTTTACTGTGCCTAGACTACTGGTTTTGTTTTAGTTTTTGAGATATCCCCAGATCATTCTGATACATATGGGTCACTTGAGAACTTCTGTTTCAGGGATTCTTAGCTATAAAAGGATAGCTTTCCAAATAAGATGCATTGATAATCAGACTTCAGGAGTTCTTTCTGAGCACTGAAGTGCCACCAAAACTTTTAACGAGACCCTACTTTTTTGTTGTTAATTCTCACTTGAAGATATTTTTCCATTGATTTTTAGATAGAGTGGAAGAGAAGCGGGGGGGAGAGAGAGAAACATTGATGTGGAGAGCCACATCGATTGGTTGCCTTCCATACGTGCCCTGACGGGCTGGGGATTGAACCTGCAACCCAGGTATGTGCCCTTGACTGAGAATCAAACCTGTTACCCTTCATTGTTTGGGCTGATGCTCTAACCACTGTACAACACCACCCAGGGCATCATAAGAACCCACTTTAATTAAATGACCCTTTACTTCAATTTACATTGCTGGCTTCTCATTCTTTTACATCCACTCACCTTCTGGGACCAAACATTATGCTGCCTCTTTGTTCTGTGCCTCTAAAGTGTTCCTAAGATACTGATCATTTTATTTCAGACGCAACCTCACTAATAACAGAAAAATTCCATTGTCTTTTGTAGTGTTTTTAAACAAGTGTTAAAATTTGAGAGGAAATTATCTTAGAGTGGTGAATTTTGAAATATAACCCTCTCTTGCCCAGCTGTGGTGGTTCAGTTGGTTGAGTGTTGTCCTGTGCACCAAAAGTTTGCCCAGTCAGGGCACATATCCTTGGTTGGGGCATGTACAGAGGCAGCCGATCAATGTTTCTCTCTCATATTGAAATTCCTCTCTCTTTGTCTCCTTTCCTCTCTCTAAACATATTTTTGGGTGAGGATTTAAAATAAAGAAAGTAATAATCCTCTGCACCACTATATCCCACCTCAGTGTTAGATGGTGTATTTCTGTTATTCCCTTCCTTACTCCCTCATAGGGAAATTTATAAAAAATAATCATCTTTGGCCCTGGCCGGTTTGGCTCAGCGGTTAGAGCGTCGGCCTGCAGTCCTGAGAGACCCGGGTTCAGTTCCCACTAAGGGCGCGTACCTCGGTTGCAGTTTGTCCCCAGCCCTGGTCGGTTGTGCGGGTGGCAGCCACTCGATGTGTTCCTTTCACGTCGATATTTCTCTCTCTCGCTCTCTGTTCCTCTCTCTCCCTCCCACTCTACCTGAACAAAAAATGGAAAAATGTCCTCCGATGAGGATAAAAAAAAATAATAATAATAATAATCATCTTTGAAGCTCTCTAATGCTGCCTTATATAGTTGTAAGGACTTATGAGAAGTCCTTTATCTAAGAATACTTCCAGCACTTCTTCTTTTCTGCTTTTGAATAAGAAATGGAGAAAAGTCACATAGTGATACTAGAAATATAAAAATTAATTCTTTAAAATAAAATATACTTCATAGTAGAAGTTGTTTCAATAGTTAATGGTTTTTATCTGTTACTGAGGAAGCCATACTTTCATAACTAAACTAGAAAAATCTTTCTATAGTTTGAGGATGGATCATCTCTACGTAGTCAAAAAGTGCCAAGAAAAGAGAGACTTTTTAAGCGGAATTTCCCTCTTATTTAATGTAAAATAGTCCAGGGTTTGTATAGGAATTAATTTTCTCAATAAACAGATTGAAAACATTCTCTCTTCCTCTCCTTTCTACTGAAATACAAATTAGTCCTTTTTTAAAGGCACTGGATTCTAATTCAACTAAATCATGACTATCCTAGTCCTTTTTCAGTTCTGAGATGGTATTCTAGCCCCAGGAACAGATGGTTGGTATGTTTTTTTTTCCATAGGTAATTCTCTTTTCAGTATTCTCAGTTCATTAACTTACAATGACTGTTCTTTTTTTTTTAATATTTTTTTCTTTATTGATATTAGAGTGAGAGAGGAAGGGAGAGAGAGAAAAATCGATGAGAGAGAATATCGATTGGCTACCTTCTGCATGCCCCCCACTGGGGATCAAGCCCACAACCTGGGCATGCGCCCTGACTGGGAATCGAACCGGCAACTCTTAGTGCATGGGTTGATGCTGAACCACTGAGCCACACTGGCTGGGC